TAGAGTGAAAAGATTTTTATTGGAGGAGACTTTAATGGGCATGTCGGGAGGGAAGCTGGTCAGTATGCGAGGGTGCATGGTGGTTTTGATTTTGGAGAGCTAAACAATAAAGGACAAACTCTTCTTGATTTTCATTGGCGTATGATTTTAAGATTGCCAACACTTGTTTTAAGAAGAGAGAGGAGCATCTCATCACTTACAAAAGTGGAGCCTCAAGGTCACAGATTGATTTTCTTTTGGTTAGGAACATAGATAGAAAACTTTGTAAAATTGTAAGGTGATCTCCGGAGATGCTGTAACGACACACATAGGGTTCTAGTCCTTGATGTGTGTATTATGAGTAAAATCTAAAAACGTCGACAAGTAGTAACACCAAGGATTAGGTGGTGGCAATTAAAAGGTGAGAAGCAAGATTTTTCAAGCGAAATCTTCTGGATAAAAGAATTTGGGATTCTCTGGGAAGTGCTAACATCATATGGGAGGATATGGCTAAAAAGATACGAGAGGTTACAAAAGTAGTTTTGGGAGAATCGAAAGATTTTGGTCTGAGAGATAAGGAGTCTTGGTGGTGGAATAATAGTGTACAGGACAAAATCAAGTATAAGAAGAACTGTTTTAAAGCCATACATTGTGTAACAATGAGGAAAATTGGGAGAGGTACCGTATGGCTAAGAAGGAAACTAAGAGAGCTGTGGGTGAAGCTCGTTCTAAAACTTTTGAAGAATTTTATAAGAACTTGAGACGAAGGAAGGAAAGCAAAATATTTATAAGATTGCCAAGAGTAGGGAAAGAAAATCAAGAGATCTAGAACAGGTAAGGTACATTAAGGATGAAGAGGGAAGAATTTTAGTTACAGATGATGAAATTAAAAATAAATGGGAGACTTATTTTTCTAAACTTTTCAATGATGGAAAGGATTCATCTAGTAACTTGGAGGATTTACTAACTGGTGAAGGAGAATAAAATTTGTCATTCTATCGAATAATACGTGATAAGGAGATAAAGGAAGCTCTTAAGAAAATGGCAAATGGTAGAGCCAACGGACCTGATTGTATATCTATCGAGCAAGAAATGAAATGTTTAGGTGAAGAAGGGGTGAGATGGTTAACTAAGTTATTTAATATGATTTTACGATCCAAGAAAATGCCTAATGAGTGGAGGAGAAGTACATTAATTCCTATTTATAAAAATAAAGGAGATATTCAAAATTGTACTAACTATAGAGAGATTAAACTCATGAGCCTTACAATGAAATTGTAGGAGAAAGTAATTGAGCACAGGTTGAGATTGGAGAGACAAGTATTTCTGAGAATCAATTTAGTTTTATGCCAGGTAGATCAACTACAGAGGCGATATATCTACTAAGGGGATTAATAGAAAAGTATCGTTGTAAAGATAAAGATCTACACATGGTTTTTATTGATTTGGAAAAAGCTTATGACCGTATACTAAGAGAAGTGTTTTGGAAAGCATTGGAAAAAAAGGGAGTACGGATTGCTTATATTAAAGCCATACAAGATATGTATGAGGGGGTAAAAACTAGTATAAGAACGCCTAGTGGTCAAATAAAGGATTTTCCTATAAAGATTAGACTACATCAGGGATCATCTCTGAGTCTTTATTTGTTCAACTTGATTTTAAATGTTTTGACGAAACATATTCAAAGAGGAAATCCCGAAATGTATGCTCTTTCGCGAATGATATAGTTCTTATAGCAGAGACAAGAGAAGAAGTTAATTGCAAACTTCAGTTATGGAGGAGGACATTGGAGTCGAAAGGTTTTCGTCTGAGTAGAAGTAAGACGGAATATTTATATTGTAAATTTGGTAAAGGACTATTCGAAAATAATTTGGAAGTGAAATTGGGAGATCAAAGTATACCTCAAGTGAAAAAGTTTAGATATTTGGGAGCCATTATTCAAAATGATGGCGAAATCAGTGGGGATATTTCACATAGAATTCAAGCTGGGTGGTTTAATTGGAGAAAAGCTAAAGGAGTTATTTATGACCGTAAGGTGCCTAATAAACTTAAAGGAAAGTTTTATCGTACTGCTATCAGACCGGCAATGTTATATAATAGTGAATGCTGGGCTCTAACAGAACAGCAAGAGCAACATAAAGTTGGAGTAGCAGAGATGAGAATGTTACGATGGATGTGCGGACATACACATGAAGATAAAATTCGAAATGAGCACATACGCGAAAAAGTGAGGGTGGCACCTATTGAAGAAAAAATGGTAGAAAATCGGTTGAGATGGTTTGGGCATGTACAAAGAAGACCAAGGGAGGCACCAGTAAGAAGAGTGGAACATATAACTTTGAGTCCGATTAAGAGAGGTAGAGGAAGGCCTAAGAGGTAGAGGAAGGCCTAAGAGAGGTAGAGGAAGGCCTAAGAAAACACTCTTGGAAGTTGTTGAACGTGATCTCTTAATTAATAATATTCCTAAAAGCTTGATAAATGATAGAGCACAATGGCGTCTTGCAATCCATGTAGCCGACCCCACCTAGTGGGATAAAGGCTTGTTGTTGTTGTTGTTGTTGTCACATATTCTGGGGAACAGCTGCAAACACTAATTCACCCTTTGAACTTCTTCAAATTCTTTTTGCACTGCAGATCAAGTAAAAAATTGATTGAATGATCATTTGGGAAATATTCAAATCAAGAAAATAATATAGATGGTTCTAATGACTAAATTAGAACCCTGAATGATTTTCATGATTTGGTTTACATCTAACTTAAAGCATGTGATTATAATATTGGTTATAGTTGAGTATGAACAAACACTTCCCCTACCAGCATTCTTTTCTTAAATACAGCACACAAGCATCCTAGTAGTCAATATTTGGAAATAAAAAAGAAGTCATTTTCTAGGAATAATAGGCATACTTCTTTTTTTAATCACACATAAATAAATGCATAATCTAAATTTAGAAATGGTTAACACAAGCAATATATTCTGGGAAGACTCAGTGCCATCCTTGCATGCTCTTCACAATAATACTGATATTATTGCCTTGGAATTTCCACTGCCAAGTATTAGTCTGAAAAGAAAAAGTCCAAATAAAAAGTATTATTAAAGTGACAAGCAGATGCCACAAATTCTCATAGATTAGTTTACAAGAAGTGTTAATGAATGGTACTAGCATTGCAACCGATTGAATTCCTATTAAAAATGAAATTCCACGTAATACTTCTGAGGTTACTTTGACCTTCCTTTCTCTACTTGGTGCAATTATTATTTGCAAGAAGATCACATCGTTCAGTCTAACACATCTGATATTTAAATAGAAGTTTCAAAACGCTAAAACCATAGCTACAGCCAATCAAAATCCCTATAGCCACTTCGTTCTATTCGTCTTCTATAGGTGCAAAGGAGCGTCAAGTTGATAAGAGAAATTAATTGAAAAAAGCAACATTACGAGTACAGTTAAAATTACAGAGTCTCGTTCTCACCTTTAACAGGACAGGCCTGTCATTTATAGAGACATTGGATTAGTTGAAGCCCTAATTTCAAGGGGCCTACAGAAATTGATTATCAGATATCCATTCTATAGAAGAAGAGATATCCAGAAAATTAAAATGCCTCCTAAAAAATGAAAAATTAGCAAATTAGAAAAACTACCTGTAGCGCAGATGACGCATGTACAGAGAGAGTTGGCAGCAAATCGGAGTAGAAACTTGAGAGGCCGTAATCTGCAAGGGAGAGTAAAGACCGAGGAGTGAGAATGAGATTGATTTGAATCTTTGACGAGTGATGTAGTGGAGATGAGACGGAAAAAACTCTTGAATCTGTAAGCGCTCGCAGATCGAAGCATGAATCGATGTGCCGTCATAGAAGGAGAAGAGGAGAGAGGTGGCCATGGTGAGGAGAAGAGGTGGTTGTCGGCGAGATAGGTGGAGGAAGGTGAGGTAGCCATCGCGAGCTGGAGACAAAGAGCTGAAGCGCGAAACCAAAAATAAATTGGGCGCCATGGGTCTGGGAAATGAAAGCTGAAATGAGGTTGAGCGCTTTTAACATTCAAATCCTCATCACTTTTCTGAATCAAAGGACATGGCTTTGAATGTGAAACACAATCCACGTCATTTTTATTTGGAAAACGACATGGATAATAAATTAAAAAAATTATCTTTACTAAACCACGTCATTTTCCTAAAATCAAAGTAGATAGATTAACAATTCACGTCACTTATTTTAAATAAAACGTAGATTCTCGAAGTTACGTCCGTATTAAAAATAAAAAAGTGATAAAAAATTTTTATCCACATCATTTTTTTATAAAAAAACGATGTGAATGATGCCAGAATAAATTAATTCAAAATAATTTATTTTAAAAAGTCATGCCCATATTGAAAAAAACGACATGAATTTTTTATCCACATTACTTTTAAAGATGAATAATTTCAGAATAAATTAATTTAAAATAATTTATTTTTTAAAAGCTATGTCTTTATCAAAAAAATTATGTGAATTTTTTTTCTACATTGTTTTTATTATAAGTGATATAGATATCTATAACCATTCAATACTAATTATAAAATTGCCATTGTTTTTATTTTAATCTCACTTTTATGAAAAGTGACATAAATTAAAAGATGTAAAATGTATATTTTGCAGTAGTATTATCACTCTATCCATTATTCACTTTTAAATTGTACAATTTTAACATCACTAATAACTTTGTGAATTTAATACAACCAACATACAAGGACTTCTCTACATTACTCTTCAACATTTCTAACATTTCATGACAATCATCAATTTCCTTTCAATAGTATTAGCTATCTCTTCAAGACGATTAGTTTCATAAGTTTTTGTGTCATAATCTTTTGATTCAAAGCTTTCTTTATCTTCCCAACTACTAATATATTTGTCATGTCTAGTCTCTCTATATTTATGCCAACACTTGTAATTATCATCAATTTTATGGCACACTAAATGGTCTTCCAACTTAGATGCACTAATCCACTTTAAATGATCACATTGTATACCAGGGCACACTATTCTTCTAGGGTCTTTTCATGCTTAAGAGAAAATCTTATGAACTCTTTCACACCATTCAAATACTCTTTACTTAATAGATTGAAAGATATCTATTCCTTATCCATAACAAAAAATGAAAGGAATGATACAATGATAAAAAATGAAATTGACTATTCTACATATAATAGAAAGTAATCAATAATGAATCATGAGTTCCATGCATGGGCATTCACATATTCCTTCAACTGTTAAAAAAATTCGGCAACATAATGACATAAAAAAAAAATATTCCTCGGGCTCAAACCTTAAGACATAGAAAAATTCATAAAAAACTACAATCATCATGAAAATTCATTTTGATGACTCATTTTCATTCTAATAATCTTAGGCTATCCATATCATCCATTAGCATTCTCATGTCAATAACATATCAAATATTATTAATTTTCAACAGCCCACAATTCCAAAATAAGCAACAAATGAGTAGAAAGTTAAACAAGTAAAATCCTCCAATGAAAATATCCACGACATTGAATAAATCATTCACACAACTAAGAAATCAATGGATATATCAATGGATATTGAAAGAAAAAGGAAGAAAACACAAAGAAAATGAACCCAAGATTGTGAATGACAGCATAAGAGGGGGCGGCTTCACGTCAGAGCATTGTACAATGGTCAATGATAGAAATGCAGAAAGCTTGTGAGAATTTTTTTCTAGTTTGTGTGCAAGTAGAGAAGAGGAAGATTATTAGGCGCAAGGACAAGTATGAATTGAGAATAGAGTTATAAAAGGAAATTCCTGTCATTTACTCCTACATGACCCATCATTTATTATCATGTATTTAAATGATAGATGTTTTTAAATTTTTTATTTTTTAATAATAAGAAACCAAAATGTTATATAATGAGTGTTTTAAACAACCATCATTTAACGACATGACAATAAATGAGGGGTATTTGAAACACCATTATTTCAATGTTACATTTTTTTTAATTTTTTATAACACATAAATTGAAACATAATATGAAGATTGTTTCAAACACTGGTTACTCATTATCTTAAAATATATTATAGGTGTTTTAAACATGAGTTATTTATTATTTAACCATCACCCACCTCACCTATATATGACGTATTTTTTTAATTGTTATTTTTTGGCAACTTATATCCAGATTTTTACAGTAGTGACTTATAAACCATGTAACTTACCACAAATGTTATCTTTTATATTTATAGTAAACCGCCACTTTAAAAAAAAATTTAAATCTAACTAGACATATGCTTTTCACACATTATGTACTATTATTTTAGATAGAGTTGATTTGTAATTTTTTGGCCAAAAAATATTTTAGGGTTCACTATTTATAATTGCAACTTCATATAACGTGTAGCCCACACAATCTTGAAAATCTTGTAAATTGCCATTGTCCCAAAACAAGCACGCCAAACGTTGCTGGATTAACCCATTGACACGTGGAAAAAACCCATTATATTTGGCTTTTCAATATAGTTCATAGACAGATCACATTATTAATCAAAGGGTTAAAGATTGTTGCCCATCAACTATTTCATCATCAGTAGCTTATTGTATTTTACACTTATTTTTTGTGTATCTTTCCCTTTGAGATTATTATTATTATTTAGATATATTTATCACAATTTACAAGTTACCATAATACTATGGTATCCTCGAAGAGAAAAGTTATGTTACAAAAAAGTTTAGAAATCTAACACTCCTAAAAGAATTAGTTAAAAGGTAAATATGTCCTTTAACTCTTTATCAAATATTAAAAAATTAAAAAAATGGACATACAGGTAAGAGAAAATTATTTTGACATCGTACTAGCAATCTCTTCAATTGTGCAATCTCTTCATTTTGTATCTCATATAGACCCCACATACATAACCATACAGTTCATATGTGTTTTTATTTGTATAGTGATGCAATGAATGATAATAATTTCATAATATTCGCATGATAATTTGTTGGATAATTGAATTATATATTGGGAAAGGAAAACCCGCTCATAATGCTTTTAGAAAGATCACTAATGATTTGGTTATTCACGCATGCGTATATAGTTGAAACAGAAATTGCTCATGTGCATAAACAGAAGTTTCATGAGTACACACACATACATAGGATGAGTATAATAGGACAAAAGGATAAAAATACTTAAAAAATTGTTGGTTAGAAGTATTTAATAGCTTAAAATAAGAAAAAGTATACAAATGCTTGTAAAAATATTTTTTTAATGCATTTGTGACCTAAATGTTCAAAGTCAACAATGTTGATTATAAAGTTGTAGATTTAAAATTTAATAGTTTGGACATATGGATGCATTAAAAAAATAACTTCATAAATAATCGTGTATTTTTTTTATTTTAGACTATTAAATGTTCCTGTATAATAGCTTATTGAATAGTTTTGTCACTTTACCCAATAGAACAGAGGTGGCTCACGTACATAAGAAATTAAACCAAGCAGAAGAAGAGGAAGAAGTTCTGCAGGAGACAAGAGAGACTATAAAATGAAAAGCAATGGAAGCAATCTTCGATTTGATGCCACCCCTTCGAGGAATCGTTCTGCTCTCTCTGAACATCCTCTTAGCAACTTGAGAAGCTCGAACATGAATCACCCTCCTCTTCATTTTATCAGATGCAGCACTCGAGAGTAGGTAAGTTGTGTTGTATGCTGTGAGACTTGAGAAATCAATTAAGGAGAAGGTGAGGGATTACATATATACATATATATATATATGAACAGAGAGAGAGAGCCTTGTGGTCAGCTTACACTGTGGTGGAAAACTTGTGTGAAAATATGGAGACGGTAAAGGAATGCACACACACATATAGGGAGAGAGGCCGACCTCTGTAATCAGCTTATTGCAAACCAAGATACCACCACGGAAGAGCCTGTGTGCGACTGAATAGTGCCGGATTACGGGTGTACTTTTCAGCTCAACAACATATATAGTCTCTCTTACCCTATTTATAACTTATTTTTAATATGTTTCATCAAAATAAAGAAAAATTTTAAATCTTGTTATTTTGTATTAAAATTTAATAAATTTCACCTTTATCCTCTAGCAAAGGCAAGAAGAACTATTTTTAATAATTTTTCTAAACATTTGATGAGAAAAAAAAAGTAAGTATGAATATAGAAAAGAGTGAAGTGCTATATAAATAGGAATAAAATTAATATTCTCTCTCAATTTAATTTGATTTTTTAATGGTGATAATTTTTCAACATGGCGGTGTAAGTTTAATTTGGCTGTTGAAGCTTGCTAATTATGGCATTGTCGTTCAAGCTGTCTTTAACTTGATGTTAGTGCCTGCATGCGTGCGCGCGCGCACATATTTGTTTTTGATAAAAGGATCAATAGATAGACAAAATATAAAACAAAAGGTCAGAGCGTTATATTTCTTGTAAAAGGCAAGGGCAAGGGGATTATATTAAAGAGGTCAATGCTGTTTGAAACTTCAAAAACAAATGAATTAAATTACTGCGGAAGGATCGAAAGATCATGTTTAACAAGCCTTACACTTGAAGCTTGAAAAGTGGCTGAAATTAAAGCTAGTAATACCGTAGTAGGTTGCGAGCTTGGTAGGGTGGACTGGCATAATCTGCATCTTGCCTGGGTTGTAATTTTGCCAACCCACAGGGCTAACTTGCCAGTAAAAACATACTTTTTTAATATTTTTTTAATTTTAAAAATTATAAATTCACTTGTTTTTTTTTTGCAGTAAAAACTAATTATCTAAATAACAATAAATGTCCTTCTAATCAAACCATGCTTATATTATCACTTAAATATGAACTAATTTAATTTTGTGATTCTTTTATTATCTGTCTTTGCACTTTATGCAAGTTTATCTTTTTCATATACACATTTTCTTTTTTTATTTTGTTTACATTTTAGCATTCTTCAACATTGAGAGAATAGAAATGACTGAGTCCAATTAATTATTGAAAATGG